TTACACGTTACAGATAGCAACAGTCAGCTGCTGGTGGCTGCTGCTGCACTGGTTGAAGGCTCCTCTCTTAGCGCCCAGACGAGAGAAGGTGCATGGGCAAGGCCAGGCAGGAAACATGTGACTTATCAGTAACTTTAGACATCGTAACACAATTTTAAACGAGATTTTATTGTAGATTATACATTTTACTGATACCAATTATATAATATTTACCTTGTTCATTAAAAATAAAAATAAAAATATATATATTTTTTTAAACATTTTTTTTATTTTTATTTTCATTTTAATTTTTTTTTTTTTTTTTTTTTTTCAATATGGGAAGAGGTGGGGCGGCGCCCCTAGCGCCCCTATGGACCGGCCGCCACTGTCTGTGGGCCTGGGTCCACCAGGAAGGAAGCCGGCTCATGAAAATGAAAAAACGATGTGAACACATCTTTGGGGTTCCTCATCACATAGATGAACTGCAGTGATGACATGACGTTAGACCCTTTCCTTCACACATACTGTCTGTGATGCGTTTATCACATTGAATCTGATCTGCCTTAGTTGATAGGTTTACCTTTGGCTTTACTTCAAAGAAAGATGGTGGCATCATGTTGGACTGGAAGTGTGTAGTCAACAGTCGTGGAGAGGGCCTCTGTTCAAGTTTGAGGGAGGCGGTCTGCTGCAGTTCAAGCCAGGGAACACGATTCCAGTTAAGAATCGTGTCAACAGGTGCTGGATCTCCTCCACTCATGATCAGAGGGACAATCTCCTTCATCCAGATTGTACCTAAACAAAAACAAAAAAAGATTTTCTTAAATATGTATTTATTAGCCCTTGCAAAACTTGGGGTGAGATGAAATTATACCCATTTTCACCTCACCCCTTACTCGTTTGCTTGTATTTAAATGCGGCCTTCAGAATAAGATAACCACTAATTAATTACTCATGAATTGTTAATACCATGAAAACATTCCCAAAGTCACAGGCAATAGCCAACACGGAGGGAGGGTTTTTTTCTTATCTTGTGTGCTTGCCAAATGTAATACTTCATACACATGCCCAAACACACCATCCAAAAGATGGTTAAACTATTATTGAAAACTCTGGCCAAATGTCAATCTCCACTCAGTGTCAAGTTAACTTCTTATTTCATATGATTTTACAAGAAATGTTACCATGTCGTTTGGATATTATGTTGAATCACCAGTAAAAACATTGCTTTGTAGCTATCTGTTAATTGTTTGTGCAGATTCAATACATGAAGGGACACACAATTAGAAAGAACTTAAAACATTAAGTAAGTCAAAATCAGAGGAACTAACTTGCTGATACTTGGATCATTGGCATACAGTAGTACTGTAGGTTCATTGTCCTCAACCGGACCTCAGAGCATGGACAGAGAGATCATGGTACCGCTGTAGGCCTTGACCCCGGATATCTTTGAACACTGCCTAACGACAACCCAACGGACCCATCTGAAAAATGAGCTAGCTATAGCTAAAGCCCATCTTTTACAGTAACAGAAAACCCAGTACATATATCTACACTGCAATTATCGTATAGTATATTTTGAAAGACATGGGGTCTAGTGTTTAATAAAAGTGTTAAAAAAAAAAAAACATTGACGGCAGGCAGGGATTTATAGGCATTATATTTAAACTATACTTTTGGACACTACGTCACAGGAACGATGGAAAATAGCTATGTTTTAGCAGTGATAAAGAACATTTCAACACCTAACACTTACAACTCACCAGATTTGGGATACGTCACAATGATGATATCATCTGGGCGAAAAACAAACTCTTCAAAGTATTTCAGACTCTCTGGCGTGTGCACAGATGAGACCACGTAGACCCCCTTGTACACCGTGTATAACTCTTCCTCCGTCATAGTTTAAACAAAAGGTGCAGAATCTCTGTTGATGAGGGAACTTATATAGTGGATGTGTGTGTTTGCTTATGCGTTTGTGCTCGTTCCCTGTTTAAAATAAAAGGCATTGAGTAAATATTTAACCTACACTGAACAAACATCCCCCGGACTCACACCTTTGCCATAGTTTCTAATCCAAATGAAAAATGTTTTACCTTTAACCATGTCACACTGACATTGCCTGAAGGCATGTGGCGTAGTGGGTTGTGCGTTGGTGTTGGGATCAGGGGGTTACAGGTTCAAACCCCACTGCAGTCAGCAAGTCGTTGTGTCCCTGAGACACCTCACCCCAAATTGCTCCTGTGGGGATTGTCCACTGTATTGAGTACGCAAGTTGCTTTGTATTTTTTTTATATCTGAGACCTATGATATATGCCTAAAAACAGCATAATAGGAGACCTTTAAGTGTAGTTTATCACACACACATCACATATATTCACATATTACTCTGTCTTTACCTCTGTGTGTCTGTTGGCATTTTACCCTGAGTGCAATGCTAATCTTCTACATATCATATTCTATTTACATGTATATAGACTTCTTGCACTATTTGTATTTTATTATATATGTTGCATTGTTGGAGGAGCTCAGGTCAGAAGAATTTCATTGCCATTTCTACACTGTAGCTGCTGAGCATATGACATTAAAACCTTTGAATATTTGAATCTTGAATCCAGTGTGTGTGTGTTCACATAATCTGGTCTTTATATCTGATTTCTCCCGTGTTTCCTCAGACTGTGTCAGCGTTCGAGTCCCTGGGGTCAGAAGGCTTTCTCTGGATACCTGGGGTCGGACAGAGACACCTGGCAGGTGAGAAGCTCTGAGAAACACACCTTTCTATCATCAGATTTATCTTGATTTTATATATTTTTGTTGTAAGAATAGGTGTGAACAAAATATATGACTATTATCAGATTTTATCATCACCCTAAAAACATATATATTTTTGTTGTGGTTGTATAAAAGTACAAGAACGAACAAAATAGATGAAAACAAAGATGGATTAAAGCAGAATATTTGGTTAGACGAAAATATTTTATGTGAAGTTTGGACATAATTATCATGATCTTATTTGGTAATCTATTTTAAAGAGCATTTTAAAAGCAAGCTGGAGGTTTATAGAAAAAGCACCTATTTTTCTGTTTCTTTAATATTTATTCTATTTATGTAAGTGTTTATTGGAGCCTCCAGAGCTTTATGACGTTTGTCTATTGACTCGTTTGTTACGATGATTTGTCTTTTTACTTCAAACTGAATCTATCGAACGATACAGTAAATAACCTGCCATCCACTATTTTAGTATTTCAATAAATGTTGACGTGTGTGTCTCTGTGTGTGTGTGTGTGTGTGTGTGTGTGTGTGTGTGTGTGTGTGTGTGTGTGTGTGTGTGTGTGTGTGTGTGTGTGTGTGTGTGTGTGTGTGTGTGTGTGTGTGTGAGTAATATTACTTATTAGTATGGCGTTATATTTGTGCCTCTATCCTGAGCACGCAATGAAACATGTTGAGCATAGAAAATGCTATTGAGCGCGCACTTGAACATTTTTGAGCACAGAGAAATATATTTTCTCTCATAAAACTCCTGCTCCGTGCACAAGCAGACCGCTGCACGCGCTCTCTCTCCCTCGCTCGACCTCTCCACTCTGTGCGCGCTCAGCTTTGCCTGCCTGCTCGCTCAAGTTGTCACAGCGTTACAAATGTGCCACAAAACCAACCAATCGGAGAACTCGAGAAGGTCAATTCTGATTGGCTGGTCGTCTCCAATCATATCTTCTATCTGAGATACAAGAAGAGAGGGATTTTCGGTTGCCATCAGGCTGTTGACGTTCTTATTACACATCCATCGTTGACATTTACAGGACATGACAGACTCGAATGAAGAGAATAGTACGCCACAGTGTCAGGTGAGTTATACATTTCTAGTTTTCTGATATTAGGTTGTTGTTTGCAATGCCTTTGACGAAACCTTTTATCCGATCGTTTCAGATAAGGGTGAGTTTGCTAGCCGGCAACATAGCACATACCACATTTGTTTTCATAGTGATGGAGATGAGGATGAAATGGCTTCACCATTGTCTACTTTCACCCAGCCCACACCTGCCTCACCCTCACATTCCTCAACTTATTATAATTTTCTCAGGCCTCGTCACCGTTCGCAACCGATCGGACTACTGGAGGAAGAAATGGCCATATAACTTCCAGGCTGGTGTGTGGCAGACAAAGACTGTTCCCGTTCCTGACGCTGTGTTGGACTACAACCGAAGCATGGGCGGCGTGGATGTGTCTGACGCTTTGATCGGGTACTACAGCGTTCTCCACAAAACGATGAAATGGTACAAGACTTTTTTTTACCATTTTATGGACATTGCAGTTGTGAACAGCTTCCTTCTCCACAAGGAGCTGTACAATATGAAGAGTGACCCCAGCAGGACAAAGCCACACACATAGAAGACTTTCAGGGAGCAGCTTGCTGCAGAAATAGGCGCGTTCACACCGGAGTACTTTTCCCACAATAGTTCATCAGAACTACGATATATTTGCGTTCACACCAAAAAGCCCCAGGAACTAAAGTAGTTCAAATGAGTTCATCTGACCCGCTTTTCAGTCCCTGCTAGAGAGCAGGGACTGTAGTGGGAGAAAATAGTTCATACGTCTGATTGGCTGTGCGGAATGCAAACCACGGCCCGTTTAACTCTGAATTTTTTTTTGGAGCGGCCATTGTATTTGCTGGCATTATTAGCCCAGCGCACCAACGAGAGTACTTTTGTGAAAGCAGTTATTATGGCAACAATAAGAATACGAAAATCATCGGAGCGGTGGAGTGATGAGGATGTGTCGGCACGTCTGGCGATTTACTCGGAGGATGGGATCCAGCAGCTTCTACTGAAGGCAGTTTCCAACTGCAAAATGTATCAGCGTTGTTCGGTAAAGTTAGTCGACATGGGAATCTTCCACAGCGCACACTCATGCCGGGACAAAATAAAGAAACTAAAGCAGGACTACAAACAAATAAAAGACCATAATAACAGTGGTTAACGGCCCGAAGACCCGTAAATGGTATGATCGATTAGATGCTCTGCTCGGCGACAGACCCTCATTCTCCGGCACTTGTGGTGAAACGGCGGATTCAGTGGCCTGTGAATTGTCCAACGACGACTACTACGAAGGTAAAAATAAACTACATGCACTGCACTGTTTTAATCTGCACAATACTGGTCTCAGATGTACTTTTATTTGCTCAGTAGATCGAGCTAGCCATGCTAGCCAGAACTGGCTAACACTGCTAGCCAGTTCAGCCTAGCATGACTAATAACATCATTCTCGGCCGCTATGAAAACCTTTTTGACTTGTGAATAAGTGTGTAATGTTTTCTGTAATTTGCTTCACTAACTCATGGCACTAATCGTGTGTTTCAGGCGAGGCAGGACAACTCTCTGGATTGGAAACAAGTGAGCTTTCCCCTCCGGATCACAACAGCAGCACTTTCTCGTCTCCTTTTCAACCATCCAAACGCAAAAGTACGTACAAACACACTGTAACTACTCTGGTCTTGAAAGAACGTTACGCATCGAACTGATGTCCACTAATCACGTTTATTTCCTTCTTGGTACAATTATGAAACACCGTGAAAATACATCGTTTACACTTTTAGCGCCCTTTTCACTCTCATAAACATCCGGGCTAGAGGTCACATGACTGCCGGTAAGAAAACTTATCATTTTTGGACAAAGTTCAAGCGTACATTAAGCACTCACAAATATAAAACAATAAATAAGGGCACTTTGAGCGTCAGCTATTTGATGCTAACTTATCTTCTACTTTACACCTGCATTTTGTACAATGTCCCTGTCTGCACCATGTCCAATGTTGTCTCTGTTGACAACCTACTAGGCGATTAAACTGATCTTGTATCTTGCTTATTTCTCCTTAGGAAAGCGGGCACAGGATGACAGCTTCCTTGACACCATCATGGCGATGGACTGCCGTGCCATGGCCAGCAAGGAGAATGAGGACCTGCGTGCCAAGGAGATGCACGACGAACGGCTGCTGCATTCACACAAGGCCCAGGAATCGGACGACCAGCTGCTGATGGTGATGGCGCGCCAGGTGGAGCAACAAAATGCCTTTCAGGCTGGGCTTCTGGCAGTGCTAAGCAAGCTGATTAAATCCAACAGGCCTTCAATACAAAAATTAAGAAAAACTTGTCGTCGTTGATAAACTGTACAATGACTTGTTGGGAGGCGTGTGGTGCAGTGATCTGGTGCGTTGGTGTTCGGATCAGGGGAGCACAGGTTCAAACCCCACTGCAGTCAGGATGTTGTTGTGTCCCTGGGCAAGACACTTCACCCCAAATTGCCTACACCTGGGACAGTTAATTTTGTATTATTGTGATTATATATATATGCCACTGTTATTAATACTGACACCTAACTTTGCACTAAGGTGTGTCTGCTGCTGAGCCTACCTATTGTTATTATATATATATATATATATATATATATATATATTGCCACTGTTATTATATTGTTTTGATACTACTGACACTTATTGATCTGCTGCTGATAAATAAAAGAGAACCTACATGGCGATTAAACAGATAATGTATCTTGCTTATTTCTCCTCTGACACTTTATCTTTACAGTGACCTGTGTAGCATCCTATACATCACATGTAAGTGATTATACTGATACCATCATGTTTTCATCGGTTATAAACTGGCAAAGCTTTATTTATTGTGTCCCACCCCAAATATGTGGCTTTGAAAAAGATCATTTCATTGTATTTCAAAATGGTGTCCATCAACACAAACACTATATATAGAAAGAGAAATGGTTAAGTTTGTAATTACCAGTGTTGTGAGTTCAATATTTTAATTAATTATAGTAAGGGAACATTTAGGAGTTAGTGTACTGAGTTCCTCTCAGGAGGATATATAATAAAGGTGTGTTAACTGCTGAGCCTATTTACTGTGCAATACTTTTTTCCATAATCAGTTTTATTCATTTAGATTATTATGGACCTCTGAAACACATCTGCCACATCATTTGAGTTTTGACATACCACAACCAGCCAGCCAGTCTTAACTTTCATTGTTATCCTAACCTTCATAGAGAAAGAGATAGACATGTGGTGTGTTGTCTTTTTTCACCTGTATGGTGCGGTTCTGGGCGACAACACACAGTGAAGATGATCTGCTGCACGGCACTAGCATCATGACTGTCTTTGTTTAAACCAGCAGCAGTGCAGCGGTACACAGACTAACCTGTGTGTGTGTAACGTAGTTCTTCAGGTGTGTATGCTTAATATGTATGTATTTATCACAGTAAAGATGGTATACAAAAGCTTTTTAAAGAGCTTTCAACCTCATCCCATTGTCTTTAACACACATTTAACATAATAATATACTCATATTAATATACAAATATACAGTATGAGTACTGTTTTGATACTGACATTTTATCTTTCCACTTAGGTGTGTCTGCACTATTGTAATTTTGTCTGTTGACTGTGGTAAATAAAAGAGAGAACCAAATGCACTGTACAAAAGATCAGCTTTATTGTCAATTTACATGCTGTTCAGATGCCTCATAAGGGCTGTGCGCGTGTCTTGCCCCCCGGCGATTTTTTTAGGCACGGGTACACACTCCCGGTAGTTGGTGTTGCGTCTCCCCAACGTTGCTTCCAGGCGAATACAGAGGAGTTGAAAAGAGCCCTTGCTCTTTGATCCACTGCACATTGGTGTACGTTGGCACCACCTTCTCCCACCAGGCCAATAGTATGAAGCTGCAGCGTTGGAGGCTGCACTCTCAGGACCGCACTCCCAGGACCCTAGTTGTTTTGCAACATCACCACCTAGCGGATTGGATGACCGCAAAAGTAGACATTGTAATGCTTGTTATTAACCATCTAAAAATGCATGAAAATCGCAAAAGTAGACATTTACATGCATGAAAATATGTTTTTATTATTATTATTATATTTATTATTGTTTATTTAATTTATTTTTTACAACAACAATTTGTTGTTAATATGTTTTTGTTTTTTAATAACAAATGTATTTTGTATGTCAGATGTAAAAAGATAGTCTTTTATATTTGTCTTATCAAATTTGACATACAACGTAAATATATATATATTGTAGTAATAATGATATCATCTATTTATAATTGTAAATGTATATTGTATGTAGACATACATTTATTATATATATTTTTTTATTGTATTACACGTTCTAAATAAATCAAATCAAATGTGTCTTTGAAGAGGTGGTAGATTACTGAAAAACAACTGTTAGTGTGTTTATGCACCAGGCTGCAAAAGATAAACATGCAATTTGACTGAGAGGCATTTCAGTGCAGAATACATTTATTGGGCACAATTTCCACACTGGATTCTTCAATCTGCTGTTGGTCTGCTGTTGACCACCTTCTCCTGGGAGATATCCATTCTGGCACTCTGTCGTGGCACTCTGAACACTGGCTGAAGGGTTCCCTCGAGCAAGCTTCTGGCCTCCAGAGTCCAGAAGGCAAACCTTTGGCCATGCCTTTGAAACAATAAGAACAAGATGTAATCTAAAGTATTGCATAGGGAAAGGCTAAGGCATTGGTGCACAATTGATATGCATTAATAATCTCAACAGATATTGCCATCCAGAGTCTTACAGCTCTTGTTACTGATGGTCTACTGATCTGTAGATGGTTAACCTAATATAACTAACAGATGTTCTATTGACATGCTCCTGAGTTTGTTGAGAAGTGACCCTGAAGTGACCCTCAAAATAAAGTGTTACTGAAATTAAAACACACATATTGTTAAGGGCTTTCATACCCTTGTATTTCAAAATGCTCCATGAGAATAATAATAACTGACTAAAACACCTCATGCAATATTGCAAAACATGTCAGAATTATGAGACTGTCTGATAAACAGTAAACAGGCAGTCAGCACAGTTAAGATTATTTACAATGAATTCAAATAGTAATACAATGACTATTAAAGAAGCATTTACACTGAAGACAGAACTTAGGCTACTGCTGATTTAATGTAGCGGACATACAGATCATATTGACATGCTTTTGTCATCCTTTGAAGTTTAATTAATTAGCTGACTATAATTAATGATCAGAGTTGGGAAGTTTACTTTTTTTAAATGTAGTAGGTTACAGATGACTAATTACCCTGTTAAAAATGTAATAAGTAATGTAACTGACTATGTAACTATTTGTATTGATATTCTAATGTTAATTATGGTTATTTTATGTTTTTTGTGAGTCACTTTGGATAAAAGCCTCTGCTAAATAACATAACCATAACATACGGTTTCATTAAACAAATAAACAGTTGGTTTTGCAGTGAGTCATCATAGGCTAACAGATGACATTTAGCACGTGTTGCTTGTATTGCTGTCCAATTGAATACACCAGAATAGTTGTTAACTTTAAACAAACAACATGATTCACATTACTCACACTCTTACTGTAATTAGTGATTAAATCAACAATTAATGTAGGACACCTAGTTGGGCTTGCCAAAATCACACTACAGTTTCATTAAACAAATAATCAAATATGCTAACGAAACTAATGCTTTTGCTAATAATGCTTTTGCCGAAAGCTATAGCTAACGAATAATTGTTTTTAGTGCCTTTAATACTGTTAGAAGCTATCATAAGCTAACAGATGTTTGTTTGTATTGCCTTAAGACTATCATAGTTAATGTTAGCTAATCACACTTCATTTCAAGACACCGGAATTGTTATTAATGTTAAACAAATAAAACTTTAAAAGCACTTCACATTACTCACACTCTCTGCGTTGTCGTTCATATTCAGGTCTCCTGCTCGCTAGGTGGCAGTGTAACGAAAAACGAGGGTCCTGTGAGTGCGGTCCTGAGAGTGTGGTCCTGAGAGTGCAGTCTCCGACGCTGCAGCTTCATGCTACTCCACCAGGCCGATGTTCTATTGTTCACCCAGAGAGAGTGCGGGACACGACGCGTTCCGTAGTATTCGCATATCTGGAACACATACAAAGACACAAATTAGCCCTACATAACTCCATAAATCCTACATTAGATAGTATTAATGTGATTTACTGAACGTACCATTGCTGTTCTTTGGGCGTGATAACGGTCATCATCCTCAGCTGTCCTACGGCGAAACATGTCCATAGCGTCGTCCAATCCTTTTGTTAAGGCTTCTTAACCGCCTTCGCCTCCGACTCAGCATTTCTATTGCATTTGAATGGTCGATCTGTATTTGTATTTGTGGCTGAGTTATTGGCTTAAAGGGGACCTATCATGCAAAATGCACTTTTGTACGTCTTTTATACATGAATATGTGTCCCCGGTGTTCCAGGGAACTCACCAAGTGTCAGAAAACACAACCCTCTCTATTTTCCTCCATACCCAAATCTCTAAAAAAGGGGCTGCAACGGATCTGATAAAAACTGATCCAGATTTGAACACTTTCCTGACGTCAGGACAGTGGCGCTACGGCTATTGGGCCAACTCCACCAATCAGGAGGAGACAACCACGGCATTGCCGTTCGAAAGCGCTGGAGACGTTGTAGTACATATGCCAGGCCTCTAGATGGTGCTGTTGCTCACAGAATCAACCCTTGCTAAAACAGATAAAAAAAATGTCAAATTGAGCAAAATGAGGCATGGCTAAAATGCATGATCTGTTTGGTATTTTGAAAAAAAAAAAAGTATAAATATGCCTTATATAGGTATGGTCCTACACTATATTATTCAAATATAGCATGATAGGTCCACTTTAAATAACTCAGTTACGAAGCTGTATAACACGAGCACCAAAACGTCAACTCCATACCGTGTCTGAGGTCGGAAGGTAAACAGAAGCATACAGCGGAAGCGGAAGTCTTTTTCCTTCTTCTTCTCTCGTTTTTTTGGCGGATTGCAACTTTAAGGTGCATACCGCCACCTACTGTACTTGCCGTGAAGTTGTTTGCGGCCTGCCAGTAAACCCAAAGCAGAAGAAGAAGAAGTGACGTCAGCGGCTCATTTGCCTAATCCACCTCCAGGAACTCATTTTGGTGTGAATGCGATCTGCTTTAGTTCATCAGAACTAAAAGAGCGCTCATGAACTAAAGTTCTCATGAACTATTGTGGGAAAAGTACTTGGTGTGAACGCGCCTAATGTTGGAATATGCTGAAGGCTCTGCACCTCCACCACCCCTCCCACCACTCACATGCGGGCCCATGTTTTATGGGAAAGATGTCCGTATCAGGAAGTACTGCAGGAACTGCCATGATGCTGGCAAAAAGAGGGTGAAGACACCTTGGCACTGCGTGAAGTGCCAGGTCCCTCTGTGCTTGAATATCAAAAATAATTGTTATCAGGAGTGGCATGCCAAAATATTGTAACATTCAGGAGGTAAGTATAAAGTTTTACATTCAGGAGGTAAGTATAAAGTCTACCTATCTAGAGTGTGGTTTTATTGTGTAGTGTGTTTGTAAAATGTTTGAAATAAATCTGTAAAATGTTTGAAATAAATCTGTAAAATGTTTGAAATAAATCTGCTCCAATTGGAGTCAAACTTCATTTTGTATGTTTGTTTGTTTTAATTTTTTTTTTTTTACAACAGTTGTATTTGGATGGAATGAATACCTATAGTGATAATTCAAAGTAATACAATTATTTTTACAGTGAAAAAGGTCAAATGGAACTGATGGTTCCCAAATTACTCAGAGGTGAGTCCGCCTGGACTTTATTTTTCAAATTTCACTTGTTTTGCATCAATCTTGATACAGGGTACTTATTATATGTTATAGTTTGGATTCCTAAAGCTTTTAGTCTACTAACCCATCATTCAAGGGTGGTTTTCACTATAAGTAATGGTTTTTTTTAGGCGGAGATTAGAATTTACATGTTTTTACTATGTTCCATATGAATTTACTTTAAAATAAAAACATCTATATTGATTCTGACACTTCTACATCCAACTCACAGATGTAACCTTGCTTTGAGAAAAAAGATTATTAATTTACCCCTTTTAGAAGTGAAGATATAGTCTTTGTTGTGTTAGTGGCATTTTCGAGCCTGAAACCTGAAAAACAGGCTCAGGGCTTAAGAGGTTAAGCATACAGCTAACAAACCGTAGCCTACATGTACATGAACCCTTCTGAGGTATTGATTACTTGCTGTAAGCATTAGAGGTGGCAGAATGACAAAACATGGTTGTGGTCGGATAATCCAAAAATCAGCTCCTATCGTTTATTCCTTGACCTCTGAGTGAAACGTCATGGGGTTAAGGGATAGTGGATAGGAGAATTCAAAAGGACTTACATGTAAGTTAATGTTAGACCTTTTTGAGTTGGTTTTAAACGTCAGAATTTATATATAATTTAAAGCATCCTCAAAGATCTTGAGATACTGCTTTTATTATATTATTGCTTTAATACAGAAAAATACCCAATATAATCAATGCTTGGGTCATTAACCTCTAACCCTAACCCTATTTTAAATCGAACACACTACTTTAAAAGTCAGGGCACTTTACCTTAAGCTCCCTCACCACACCGCACAGATTTGCAATGTCATCATCAGGGCCTGCTTTACTTTGACACAATTAAGCCTCTTACAGCAGCAAGCGTGGCCCTCAGCCATGATCACCGTGATGCAACAGGGATTCACTGAACACCTGTGGACGACAAATACAGGACTCACTCACCTCTGCTTTCTAGTGTCACAGGAAGGAAGAAGAAGAACATGATGAATCCATTCGAGGCATAGCAGCTGCACTAGCTTTAGTCAGCTCTATTACACAAAATAAACGCTGTGGATATTGTCCCAAATCACTTACATTGAAAATGCACGTATGCATTATAGTGCATGAGTTGCATCACGGAATGAAAATGTCTATACTGTTTAAAGAAGTAATGAAGGTTTCTTTGTGGCTCTGTGGACAACTGCTATAACTGAAAACGTTTTGAATACACTCATTAGCATCTGAATACAAATATTTAAGATGAACAAAAAAATGTAGGCCTACCCTTTAATTTAAAAAAGTAAAAACTGTTTTTATGAGCCATTAATCCTCCAATCAAAGTGACAGGCACAGCGTAAATGATCAGGAAAGTCTACAACTATTAGAACATTTTAAAGTTGGAATTTGAATTTCCTATACATATATTCAGAAGTCTCTAGTCTTTTTAATTCCTGAACAGCAGGTGGCGGTAATGCTCTTAAAACTTTCAAAATGTAAAAGAAGAAGACACCACCGGAAGCATGCAACTTTAAAAACAGACTAACGCTGAATTGAATGTAACAAAACCCGTTCTTATTATACATCCATGAACAAAACACGCCGTTTGTTCATCTCTAAATGATGATCGCTGTTTGAGAGAGCAGCATGGATCCGTCAGAGTCGGAGGGAGTGTGTGCACCGGGGCCCTCCTCTCCACACACTCCCAAACCCGAACTCTCTGCAGCGATGCGGGCTAAGATCGAGAGGAACCGACAGCAGGCGTTGATGCTCCGGCAAGCCCGACTAGCGAGCCGCTCTTTGTCCGCTGTGGAGGGAACAACGTCGGCCAAAGTCTCCAAGACCATAGACTCTGGAGCCGGCTTCTTCATCGAGGAGGAGGGTTACGGAGAGGAAGAGCAGAGGGTCAGGAAGGTTGTGCATCAGCCAGGTGAGTGTGATTGTGTGTTGTTCGTTGACTTGAGTGGGTACATGCATGCTTTTTTATTACTCACATGTGTATTAAGAGTTGTTTTGTTTTCAGCTCCAGTAATAGAGCCAGACTACCTGCTGTGCGATGACTGTCTAAAACCCTTTATGGACTCATACCTCAGCAACAGCTTTGACCTGTCTGTCTGTGACAAGTGCAGGTACACACACACACACACACACACACACACACACACACACACACACACACACACACACACACACACACACACACACACACACACACACACACACACCACACACACACACACACACACACACACACACACACACACACCACCGCACTGATATTAGGTTATGTGTTAGGATAAGGTCAGGATAGAAAACCTGCAGAATTTCCAAGAATGTTAAAATAAAATAACTTTAAAAAACCTATAATCACATAAAATAGAGGTGTCTCCTTCTTGTCCAGTGTAGTACTACAATTCAAAAGTCATTTAGAGTGATTACCTCACATAATATAGAAGCTATTGAAAAAAGAGGTGTTACAGTACTTCATTGATTTGAAGTCGTGACGTGGAAATTACTGAAATCAATTGAAACGTTTACAAATAAAAACAGTTGGATTTGTGATGTGACCATCCCCTGACTGTCAATAGTCTGGGAAATGTTGTCAAGGCCCCGATACTCATCAGTACTCAGCTTTTTATTTTTGTCTTGGGTTTAATTCTAGTTTATCTTCAGATTGTAACTTTTATTTAAACTCACCTGACTGAATCAGATCACATGTATTAACAGTGGATTCCTTTTTGCCCTCAGAGACAACGAGGAGAAGCATAAGCTGATCTCCAGAACTGAGGCGAAGAAGCAGTACCTGCTGAAGGACTGTGACCTCGACCAGAGAGAGCCTCCGCTCAGGTTCACCCTGAAGAAAAACCCTCACAACTCAACCTGGGGAGACATGAAGCTGTACCTCAAAGTACAGGTACTTGCTGGAACGTGTGTGTGTGTGTGTTTTGGTGGGCAAATGTGTCAATTTTCTATCAATATCAATGTTCTGATCATTTTAATGATATCATTTTTTTTTTCCTGTGACCGAAGCCTGAAAAATCCTGGGTTTTCCTTGTGCTCTAAGTGCTCTAAATAAGTAAATGCGTCTACACAACAAGTTGGAAAAGAAAAACTATAATACATTATACATACATTAACATTTTTAATTGCAAATATTGCATTACAACTATGATCAAAATCACGTCATGAACCGTATAATTTAAGAATAATATATCAATTAAATTTGTCTTGGTAAGGTCAGTGGAAATGTGGGAACTGCCCAACATTTTCCAAAAGCAGAAAAAATATGTTTAGACCAATATATAAATAACAAAATATTATCAAGCTGTGATGAAAAAGTAGCACTGAAAGGATCGAATAGTCATCACATATTTAATTAACACTTTTGAAAGTATTTTTAGTTTCATTTGTTGTGTCAGCTTTACTCTTTTTATATTGCATGACTTTTCAAGAAATCTAAATATTGAATCTTGGGCTATGAAACATTTATTTTGCAGGAAAATAATACACATATATATATAGAACTAAATTATAGATAGACTGATCAATAATACAGTTAATCATTAGTTGCATCCCTAAATCAAAGCCACAAACTTTTTGGTCACATGACAAATAATGCCTTATTGTTATGTATGTTTTCCTGAGTCTCTATATGAACTACAGTTCGTATATTTCTGTTTCCCAGGTGGAGAAGAGATGTATAGAGGTGTGGGGCTCGGAGGAAGCCTTGGAGGAAGCTAAAGAGACGAGAGAAGAGAACAAAGAGGTGCAGAAACAAAAACGCTTCAACAAGAAAGTCAAAGGTCGGTTTCCTGTATGAGTCAGTGACTGTGGACACATAAAGATTTTGATGTGTGAGCATCAACTCGATAATATGGATGTTAAATGTTCATGTGTGATGTGTGTCAGAGCTGCGCCGGGAGGTGAGGAGCAGCATGTGGACCAAAGACACCAGCGTCCACCAACATCAGTACGGACCGGAGGAGGTAGTGGATGAGGAGGAGGACCTCTACAAGAAAACCTGCACCACCTGCGGACAGGAACTCAGCTACGAGAAAATGTAGACACTCAAACACACATAAACACACGCACACTGATTTGTTACGGGTATTATTTATTATTAATAAAACACACAAGGAGCCACAGTCATTGTCTTGTGTGACACTAACAGGTCAGTGTCAGCAATGGTTTCTTTTTTAAACAGCTGTTACTGCTGTTACTGACTGTTACGGCTGTATCATACAGCCGTAACACTGACCTTGCCTTGAACAATTGTATATTTTTAGCAAATTGCCTTTCTGGTTCACAGCCTATTGCAACACTTTTGTTTCTCTTGTGGAATATGGAGATTTACTCTGGCAATGTACCAACCAGCAAAGACACAATATTGAACTTGAAAATACCGTCTTGCGTAAAATAGTGAGTTTTGGAGACCTTGATACAACTGGAGAAGAAAAAGTGAATTTCGTTTCATTTTTTGACTTACAGATTTCAATCACATTTGTTTTTTTGTGATGTGTTCACTGTCATCATGTCAAAATTGAGCTTCACTCAATATCCTCTTTGTGGCTTTATTCACCCTGCCCGTACTGGGTCTCAGGTCATGTTTTATATATTTTTTAAATATAATCAGTGTTCTCTCTCTATTCACTATAACTGACATTGTCCAGATATTCATACCACAATTACTGCATATGTTTAAAACATGTTTACATTTTTGTTAAAGGTCCCATGTCATGGCCATTTCTACTGATCATAATTCCATTGTTGAGGTCTACTCAAATAGATTTATATTGTGCAATTTTCCAAAATTGCATTGGTTTCTCATACAGCATCTCTGTATAGTATGTGCAGGGCCATATCCACCATTGAGGTCACCGAGGTCCGGACCTCGGTAATTTTTTCCGAGCTGTGTATATAACAAAACTTGTGAAATAATTGCACTAAACGGGGTTCTTTGTAGTACTTCCATTTACTGACGATGGGGGCGCTGCATAACTACGTAGCCTCGATTAAAGCAAACAGAAGAAGACGACATGTATCAACAAACCACCGCAGCCCGGACTTGTATCGGAGCAGCGGAGGAGTGATGAGGTATCTAGAGATCTGAGTCCAGTGGGCTGCTTGTGTTTCTGTTCCTCACAGGACATCATATGACCAGCAGATCCTGTGTGAACGCTCTACTTTAGTCAGTGGACGTCCAACAACATGCACACTAACTTATATTGCAGCTATAGGCTAAACTTTGGTTTAAATTGCGTGAATAAACTAGCTAGAGAGCTAAAGTTAATTTCATTCATCCAATGTCAGAAGGATTACCTTTTAATAAACGTTGTAATGCTTTTCTTTCATTTCAATTTGAGTAAAACATTGAAGATATAACATTGTATTGTTTTATTTTTACACTGACTCAGATATAATGAAAAGACTACGTCAATCGAAGCTCAGCTTTGGTAAGGAAGAGACAGGACAGGCAGAGAGAGAGAGAAAGTGATGGAAGTCAGGGAGGAACTGCAGGTACAGTCACACAAAAGAATGTAGGCTTAATAACCCTATCTATCCATCCATCTATTTATCTATCTATTTATCTATAACAATAGTCTTCATTTACAATATAGACCATTTTTAAACACATCTATTGCAGTTATGTCATAACATACAATTGTATAAAACACAATTTGCTTACATTTTTGTTCTCTTTTGAGAATCAAACAAAACAGATTTAAATAAAAAAAAATAATGCAAAGCGATGTAATGCGAGATTGAACAAAGAAAGAGTAGAGGACAGAGAGAGTAATGAACAGGAAGAAGACAGAGACTAAAGAAGATGGAAGAGAGGGTGCAGGTTATGGAAAGACATGGAAAATGAATGTTGACAATGTTGTGTGATCATTTTAGCCTCTTCTGCATGTCCAGATTAATATGTAACAATCAACTGATTCTTATGAATTACACTTTCAAAAATAATTGATGCTGCAGCCCACTGACATGGTTTGAAATCAATATATTATCCAATTTGTGACCCCCCACAGGACTTAAAAAGCACCTAACTAGATCATGAAAATCCCAAAAATCTATACCCCGGAACCCCCCTAGCATATTTGGACCGCAGTATTTAGGAAATCCTGGATACGGCCCTGAGTATGTGTATTCACTCTGTCCTAAACGGCTTGTTGGAGCTCCTGCCCCCCCCTCCCTATGAGCCCAGTGGCCGCCTGCGAGACAGCGAGACACAGCCTGGCTGGGAGTTTGTGCGTGTGCTCACACACCGACTCACAGCCTCGCCGCGTCCCGCTGTGAGTTTGTGCGTGTGCTCACACACCGACTCACAGCCTCGCCGCGTCCCGCTGTCTCAGGGAGGAGAAATCGGCGGAGCTGCAGCTGAGAAAAGATTGTGTGTGAGGAAGTCCGCGGATTGGTCCTTAACCTGCCAATCTGACGTCAAATTGGCAGCGGACCCACAGAAAATTGCTATCAGAAACAATGCCTGACGTGTTTTGGACGTAATCTCGTCTTTGTTTACATTAGCAAGCCTCGCTAACACTCAGAGCTAACCTGTACTGTAGAGAGTGTTTAAAAAGCAGGAAATAAAAAAAAGGAACTCACCTTGTGATAAACCCGCAAGAGAAAAAGCATTTGAGCTCTATACTGTTTCAGAAATAATCCTTGACGTGGTTTAAACAGGATGGCGTTTTATCACAGCAGAATTTAACTTTATCTCCGGTAGAATTCTGATCAGGCATTAGCTCCGCCTCCTCTTTTTTTTTTCTTCAAGCTAAGGACCCAAAATCTGCGTTTCTCTAACAGGGCTGCAAAAGAGGGGTATAAGCAGTATGACGCATTGCTACAATGGGTGATCTGTTTGGTATTTTAAGCAAAAAAACTTCACAGACATGTTTTCTATAGGTATGGCCCTACAATATATTTTTCCAATATAGCATAATAGGTCCACTTTAACATGACACCATGTCCCTGTTTGTAAGATCGCACTGAAAACACTGGCCTCTCACTGAGAACACTGGCTTCTCCCACAATGTCGAATACAAACAAAATCAGTAAAATGTAGGACTGTAGGCTTTTTTTTTTTTTTTTTTTAAGGAAAAGTCTTCAGCACAAATATATATATAATAAATACAAAAAAGAAAGGCATTGTTTTAATAAACTCAAGATTGTGAAGCAAAATAGAAATGTGGCTGCTGATCTGGTGACAGTAGTTAAACTTCATTATTAAACAATAAAGTGTTAAAAATGTTAACTTCTAAAAGGCTCCACAGCCTGGCAGTTGAGACTGCTGTAAAGTCTGGCCGTCTCCAGCTTGTAGACAACATCACAGTGTAAATGGTTCTGTCCTGAAGTGTCCACAGATACAATAATTGAACATTTCATACAGAGGAATCAATACTTCATCCTCGTTTGAATCAAACTCTGAATAGGACTTGAGGTAGGCACCGAAACATGTGCGTATCTCAAAGCAGGTCCTCTGTCCAAACTGTCATAGGTCCTTGCTTTGAGAGCTGGAGGCGAATTAACCTTAAGCGCATAGTTTGTCCAGGTTCTCCACTGAAGAGCAGTTTGCTCCTCCTGTAGGTGGTGAAGCAGCTTCTTTGGTTGAGTTTTAGGAGCCGGATGGCATCAGACAGCAGGAAGTGGAGGGCGTGGAATTCAAACGATGTCCCGTAGGAAGCCTTCCCCCTGCGGACTGCTCTGTTCAACTCTCCATACGACCCACCCGTGTAGGCACACAGAGCCCGGCAGTGATTAAAAGACAGCGGATCATAGTTGTCTTTATTCCTCATGGCTTTGACAGCACAAAGGTTTGTGTACATGGAGTGCAGACCTTCCCCTGTGCTCCGAGGGAAGTAGTGATGTTTTACTTTGATCAGCATCTTGAGGGCGGCTGTGGCTCAGTGGGTAGTGTGCTGGACTTCGAATCAGGGGGTAGCAAGTTCGAGTCCCACTGCAGTCAGCATGTCGTTGTGTCCCTGGGCAAGACACTTCACCCCAAATTGCTCCTGTGGGGATTGCCCACAGTACTGAGTATGTAAGTCGCTTTGGATAAAAGCGTCTAACAAATGACATGTAATGTAATCTTGTGGGAGCAGCCGTAATACATGTCGTCCACAGAGTCCAGAGACAAGCTGAGGGGGATTCTGATGAGCCCGGACAGACCAGAGGCAACATGTAGTGAGGCATTTGTGGTCTTCTGCATGGCAGCCTGATTGGAGGTATTCTGAACATTTACAGGAGCTTCAGACTCTGAAGATGAGTCCGTTGTAGCCTCCTGTGAGGATGATGTCGCAACACTCTCCTTTTGGACATCAGAGCTTTTCAAAAGCGCCTCTATGGTATCCTGTTCAGGCAACTAAAGAGAAATCAGAACATATCGTTACATCGAGATAATGCATTTTGTTCAACAAACCTGGCCACATTGTTTTAAATGGTTTTAATAAAAGCAGGGGAATTAAATCTAAACTAAATTCACATTGTTTTAAGGCTGTGAAATGCTAACATTAAGTGGACTATTTTACATGTTGTATGTATCTGATGCAGTAAAATCGTAAAACAAACGAAGGATTAAGTAGAATACTTATAGCAGCAATATGTATTGCCCCAAACTCCTTAAAGACTGATTTAGGTGAGGCCTTGATATCCTGACAAGTTTCTACATTTCCAATAATGCAACTTTATCTGACTTTATGCAAGTCATATTTACTGGAGAACCCATTTAAAACTAAATCTATAGCTTTACGTAATTTCTTCAATTTGTTATCTCCAATATTTGGAGGTGACTGATGATCCTTGTATTTCTAAAATATGACCCACATTAAGTTTAACTTTTTTAGCAAAGCTACATACACCAACTATATATATTTTTCTTTTTCAGATCAGCAACGCATAGGGAACACTCATTTTAAATGCGTAGCAAAACTTTGCTAATCATGATACAAAACCTTTTTATGTAACAAAGTCAGTGAATATCTGTGGCATGTTCTTTTATCTGTTTTCTTACCGTCTTTGCATTTAGCAGGCTTATGCTGATAGAGGCAGCAGAGGAAGAACGACTTCAACGACAATCCATCAACATGATTCAAGATACCTGAAAAGTAAACAGAAACCAGACATTAGTTTGTCAGATATAAAATCCACAAGCACCAGCGATTAACTTCACCTTCATACTCAAAATTCCGAAATTATAACAATCATTTGGTCATTAAATCAAAAATGTACTAAATCTGAAAAAACCTTCAATTAGATCTTACCAGGTGCTGCAGGTGTGACAGTGAGTGAGGTGTTAGGTCTGTATAGTGCCAGTCAGCTTGTTTTATATCAGATGGCGGGGCCAATCCAAACCGCTACCCTGCATATACTCGCTATGGATTTCCCCAGATTTTCATATGTCAATTTCATCAACTCCAACAAAATGGAAGTTTCAATGTCAAGTGGTCAGTTCCAACTAAAGTACTAAAGATAAATAGTCTTGCTTGGATTGGGATTCACCCATGCAGATGGTTCTGGTTTCACTTGTCAGTGTGTCAATGTTACTGTGGCATTTAGAAAAGTCATTTTGAAATGCTTTGACCACCACAAAATACATTGTTCGCCTCTGTATTGAAATTTGATGCAACAAAATCTTTAATTATATGTGCATGACAACACACTTTTAGGCCATTGAGAACATGTGCTTAATTCGTTAAAATGTAAGTTTCCACACATTTTAAAAGTCAGTTTTGACACAGTGGTAAAATCAAACATTAACCGAGTACTT